GCGCCGCCCGCCCGGGCCCGGCTGCTCCCCGCGAGGGTCTGCGCCCTCCCGCGGCCCGGGCTGGGCCTGCCTCGCTCCGGCCCGTCCCGTCCCCTCCCGCGGCCCCTGTGCCCGCCGTCCCTCCGCCGTCTCTGGCACCTGTCCCCCCGCTTCGCCCGCCTTCCCCAGCCCGGCCCCCTGCCCCCCCGCGGCCTGTGCGCGCCGTTTTCTACCCCTCCGCGTCCCTCTCCCCGCCCGCCTGTCCTTCGGCCTCCTCTCGGGCTCGGTGACACCCCCCCCGCCCCCCAACAGCCCGGGGGCCGGCCTGGGGGGGACACAAGAACGGCCCGCCCCTGGTGCCCGGCTGCCGCCCAGCTCTGCCTGCCCTGACTCTGCTGCTCTCCCCAGTGTCCCGCCTGCACTGCGAGAGCGAGTCCTTCAAGATGGACCTCATCCTGGACGTGAACATCCAGATCTACCCCGTGGACCTCGGTAAGGCACCGGGCTGCTGGCCCTCAACGGGCTGGGAGGAGGATAGAGGGGTACCTGCTGGGGCTTGGAGGAGGGAAGACTGTGTGCAAAGAAGGAATGCGCTGTCACAGGGTTTTTGGGACGCTGTGCTGTCCCCAGGGGTGCGAGGCGCTGGGTGTTCTCGCTGTGCTGGGGCTGAGCTGGGCTCTGGTTTGCTTTACTGGGGCTCGTCGCCAGCCCATTCCCCAGAGGTGCTCTCTGGGGCAATTCTCTCAGTTGGCCACCACTGAGCTTTCAGGGAGACTTTTTGAAACGAGCAAATATACAAAACAAGTTGAAAAGAGTCTTACGTGCAGTGAGGCAGGAAGGGCTGGTGTTAGCACTGCCAGGTCTCGCTGCCTGGGGCCCAGCCAAGCCCTCTGTGACTCTCCCCGTGAATCTCTTGCTGCGTCCCACACAAACACCAGCACTGGTGTGTCCTGGTAGCTCTGGTCTCCTCCGTGGTGGCGACCGGTGTCTGTGGGGAACGGGGAGAGGCAGGATCCAGTGTGACGTTTCCTTGTCCCCCACGATCTCACTGTGGGGCTGAAGGCAGGGGTGGGGGTTTGTGCTGACCCTGCCAGGATAGCTCCTTGCCACCGTCCTGAGCTCTGCTGTGGCTGCTGCTGCTCCAGCCCCTCGCCTGCTCAGGGTCTGCGCCCTCCCGCGGCCCGGGCTGGGCCTGCCTCGCTCCGGCCCGTCCCGTCCCCTCCCGCGGCCCCTGTGCCCGCCGTCCCTCCGCCGTCTCTGGCACCTGTCCCCCCGCTTCGCCCGCCTTCCCCAGCCCGGCCCCCTGCCCCCCCGCGGCCTGTGCGCGCCGTTTTCTACCCCTCCGCGTCCCTCTCCCCGCCCGCCTGTCCTTCGGTCTCCTCTCGGGCTCGGTGACACCCCCCCGCCCCCCAACAGCCCGGGTGCCGGCCTGGGGGGGACACAAGAACGGCCTGCCCCTGGTGCCCGGCTGCCGCCCAGCTCTGCCTGCCCTGACTCTGCTGCTCTCCCCAGTGTCCCGCCTGCACTGCGAGAGCGAGTCCTTCAAGATGGACCTCATCCTGGACGTGAACATCCAGATCTACCCCGTGGACCTCGGTAAGGCACCGGGCTGCTGGCCCTCAACGGGCTGGGAGGAGGATAGAGGGGTACCTGCTGGGGCTTGGAGGAGAGAAGACTGTGTGCAAAGAAGGAATGCGCTGTCACAGGGTTTTTGGGACGCTGTGCTGTCCCCAGGGGTGCGAGGCGCTGGGTGTTCTCGCTGTGCTGGGGCTGAGCTGGGCTCTGGTTTGCTTTACTGGGGCTCGTCGCCAGCCCATTCCCCAGAGGTGCTCTCTGGGGCAATTCTCTCAGTTGGCCACCACTGAGCTTTCAGGGAGACTTTTTGAAACGAGCAAATATACAAAACAAGTTGAAAAGAGTCTTACGTGCAGTGAGGCAGGAAGGGCTGGTGTTAGCACTGCCAGGTCTCGCTGCCTGGGGCCCAGCCAAGCCCTCTGTGACTCTCCCCGTGAATCTCTTGCTGCGTCCCACACAAACACCAGCACTGGTGTGTCCTGGTAGCTCTGGTCTCCTCCGTGGTGGCGACCGGTGTCTGTGGGGAACGGGGAGAGGCAGGATCCAGTGTGACGTTTCCTTGTCCCCCACGATCTCACTGTGGGGCTGAAGGCAGGGGTGGGGGTTTGTGCTGAACCTGCCAGGATAGCTCCTTGCCACCGTCCTGAGCTCTGCTGTGGCTGCTGCTGCTCCAGCCCCTCGCCTGCTCACCCCCTGCCCTCTCCTCCCAGGGGACAAATTCCGCCTGGTCATCGCCAGCACCTTGTATGAGGACGGCACCCTGGACGACGGGGAGTATAACCCCACGGACGACAGGCCCTCCAGGTACGGGTTACAGCGGGGTGGGGGGGAAGGTGGAGTGCTGAGGGGTGTCCCTGGGTTTGACTCCTCTCTGAGCTGGTGCCGTCCCGTTGCAGGGCAGACCAGTTTGAGTACGTGATGTACGGCAAGGTGTACAGGATCGAGGGGGATGAGACCTCCACGGAGGCTGCCACGCGCCTGTGAGTGCCTGTTGGTGGGGGTCTGGGGGGGATGCAGTGTCCTGGGGTGCTGTGGGGGAGACACCGGGATCTCGGCCCAGGTCTCCCGTGGGATTCCCCCCTCTCACCGCTCCCCCTCTCCTGCCTCAGCTCTGCCTACGTGTCCTACGGGGGGCTGCTCATGCGGCTGCAGGGGGACGCGAACAACCTGCACGGGTTCGAGGTGGACTCTCGTGTTTACCTGCTGATGAAGAAGCTGGCCTTCTAGACCTGCCCCGGGGACGTTCTGCTGGCAGGCAAACAGGAGCCCTGTCACCTCAAATCCTGCCCTGACTTCCACACTGCACAGCTCCTCCAGAGCTGGGGGAGGAAAGGAAAATCCCCCCTCCTCATCCCGGCCTCTTCTGACGACTCCTGGGACCCGCAGCCCTCTCCTGCACGGAGAGAGGTGCCTGAGGGCTGAGTAGAGACTCTGCTGGCTGCTGACTGCTGGCTGGTCCTGCTTGCTCCCACCTCTGCCTTCCCCGCTCTGCCCAGGGACAGCGGGACCGGGTCGGCCACCGTCTGCCTCGGGGACCAGGGACCATTTCCAAAGGAGCCGTCCTGAGTCGGGCTGGGCTTGTTCTTGATTAAAATGGGATGTGTTTTCTAGATGTGGCTGCACTGGCTGAGAGGTGAGGCTGGTGGCGGGGCCCGCACTGCTCCCCCAGGGATGGGCACCCCAAACCTGCCCTGGTGTCTTCCCTGAGGAGCAGTGGGGCAGAGGGGTGAGGGGTGCTCACGTCCCCCAGTGGGGTACGGTGCTCCATGGAGTCTGGTGGCTGCCGTGGGAAGGATCCAGCCACTGGGGGGAGACCCCAAGGGGCTGCCTCTCGCTGAGGCCCTTGGAGGTGCGTGGTCCCCAGTGGCGGGGGGAAAAGGGGGACACAAACACCCCTTTTAGAAAAATAGCTCTTTAATTGTAAAGCGTTCACAGTAGAGGTGCCCGGGTGGCAGCAGGGGCTGTGCCCGCCGGCGCAGGGGTGTCGCTCTGCCTCCACGGTCCTCGTGGTCACCAAAGGCTTGAGGAGGAGCAGGAGCCAACCCCGTCCCTGCGGGCACCTCCCCGGGCACCCAGTGTCCCGTGGGATGGCTCCCACCTGGGCCGGGGGTGAGCCCCCTGTGCAGCCTCAGCGGGGGGGCTCTCTGCCCCCCCTCTGTCCCGGCTAGCATGAGTCCTTGGTCAGGCTGTGGAGGAAGAGGCGCAGCTTGCCCTGCAGCAGCCGCCGGTAGACGAGGAAGATGCTGGTGATGTCCGTCTGCTCCACGGAGCGTGGGGGGCAGCCCGGCTCCCAGGGTCCTGCCTGAGGGACAGGCCGGGGGGTGACAATCCCCACCGTGCCCAGCCCAGCGCCGGGGCTGGCACGGGGGGCGCGGGGGTCTCACCTCCCACTGGAAGGTCTGCAGCAGCAGGAGGAAGGCGTTGGCCTGTCGGTAGAGCTGTCCCAGCTGCGTGGCCCCGCAGTCCTGGCGGAGCTGGCCCCGGGCCCCCGCCGCCGCCCCCACCAGCAGCGCCAGGTCGCAGAGGAGCTCCCGCCGCTTGCTCTCGTTCTGGGGGAGCGGGCACTGAGCGGGCCGGCCCCCCCACACCCCCTTCACTCCTCTGCTCCCGGGTTTGCCCGCAGGCGTCTCGTTTGGCTTTCCCGGTGTCTGTGCCAACCTCCTCCAGCCCCACGGGCACCCCCAGTGCCACCGCTGTCCCCCCCCATCCCCTCTCACCGATTGGGATCTCCACTGCTGGGCGTTGAAGTCCACCGAGGGCAGCACCGTGGGGCAGCCGAGGGCAGGCAGGGCCTGGCACCTGGGGGGGGGGGGGAGGGGGGAGTTACCCTCACCACTCCCTTCTCCATCTCCTTGGCTTCCTCGATGTACTTGTTGATGAGCCTGCTGTCGCAGACCAGCCGGGCCGGGCTGGCGGGACCCTCTTCCAGGTGCAGGAGGAAGGCTGTGAGGAGGAGCAGTCCTGGGGGAGAGTGGGCATCCCTTGGGCAACCATCCCACCCTCCCTGGCCACCTCCCGTGGGGCAGCCCCTCGCCCCAGCCCCCCGGGGACATGCGGAGGGGGTGTCTATGTGGGCTGAGGAGTTCAGTCGCAGCGGGTGGCCGGGGTTTCCGTGCTGGGGGGCCGTGTGGCCGGGTCGGTGCCAGGTTTGTGGCCGCTGGGGAGCGGAGCCAGGCTCCCTGCGTGGCGCGGGGCCAGCCCTCCCGCTCCCTGCCAGCAGCGGCTCCGGCCGGCACGTCACGTGCGCTTCGGGGAATCCCTCGTCCCCTGACGTGCCACTGCTCTGGCTCAGGGACAGCAGCCACCACCACCACCCTCCCAGTGCCACCAGCACGCTGCTGTCCTCTCAGCCGGGCGGCTGCTGTCCCCAGCCATGGCCATCCTGCCATCTCCTCCTCAAAGCCCTCTGGGCATCTCCCCACCTGGGCACTACGCTCTCCCCGCAGCCCCTGGGACAGCCCCTTCCCCAAGGGCTGGTGCAGAGAGATGCTGGGCTGCCCTCGCCCACGGCTGGTGGCCAACTCCCACCAAACCAGAGCCACCCTTGGGGGGCATCTGTCACCCGTGATTGGCCAGTTCAGCCTAAACCAGGAGAGATGCCCACGTGTAGGGCTCATCTCCTGGGATGCCCGTGCGGGGGACGCTCTGGCCCCCTCCTGCCCCCCCCGTTTTACCCACACACTCACTGTTCAGCTCCATGCTCAGCTGGGGGCTTCAGTCCTGCATCTCCCACCCCAGGGCCAGCGGCTGCTCCCCGGCTCCCGTCCCCCTTCCATGGAGGGTGGCGGTGGCGGGGGCTCCCCGCGAGCTGCCGGGCCGGGGGGGTGGCCGGGGGGGCACGGCACGGCTCTGCGGCTCCGGCACGGCCGAGGCAGCGCGATTTCCTGTTGTGTCGCCACTGACCTTCGAGCGAAATCTCAGCGGGGGCCCTGGGCCCGGGGGACGGCTTCCTGCCTCCGGCCGCTTCCTCCCTCGGCTCCGGGAGCGGGAAGGGCGTCCCTGTGCGCCCTCTGGGGCTGCTCACCTGCCCGCTGGCCCCAGGGCTCGGTGGCCGGCACCTCGGCGGTCACCGCCTTGGCTCTGCCTGTCCAGGGGGTGAAGGTGGCCCTGGGAGAAGAAGAGATGGCATAGGTGGCCCTGGAACAATTGTGTCCTGGTCCCAGCTGTGGCAGACAGGTATGAAGGGCACCAAAAGCCCTCACCCAGGTGGACCCAATCCCCTTGACCTTCACCCAGAGGTGGACCTCGAACCCTGGTGGACCTTGTAACCTGGTGACCCTCACCCAGAGGTGGGCTGCAATCCTGGTTACCCTCACCCAGAGGTGACCCTCATCCTGTACCATTGACCCTCACGCAGAAGTGGACCCCAAACGCTGGTGACCCTCACCCAGAGGTGGGCTTCAACCCTGGTGACCTTCATGCAGAGGTGGACCCTCTCCCCTTGACCTTCACCCAGAGGTGGACCTTGAAACCCAGTGACCCTCACCCAGAGGTGGGCTTCAACCCTGGTGACCTTCATGCAGAGGTGGACCCTCTCCCCTTGACCTTCACCCAGAGGTGGACCTTGAAACCCAGTGACCCTCACCCAGAGGTGGGCTCCAATCCTGGTAACCCTCACCCCATACCCTTGACCCTCACCCAGAAGTGGGCCCCACACCCTGGTGACCCTCACCCAGAGGTGGACCTCAAACCTTGTTGGACCTTGAAACCCTGATGACTCTCACCCAGAGGTGGGCTCCAACCCTGGTGGCCCTCACACCGTCCCTGGTCACCTTCAACCAGAAGTGGACCTCGTACCCTTGGCCTTTACCTGGGAGTGGACCCCAAACCCCGGTGACCCTCAGCCAGAGGTGGGCTCTGATGGCAGTGATTCTTGCCCACAGGTGGAGCCTGTCCCTGGTGACCTGCAACCCCAGTGCCCCTTGCCCAGAGGTGGGCTCTGACCCCTGCATCCCTCACACGTGGAGGTAAGAGCCGCGGTGTGGCTGTGGTGCCCAGGGACCCTTCTGTGCAGCACACAGCGGGGCCCCAGGGGGCCTTGTCCCTTCTGGGGGGCTCTTTCCCCTCCTCCCCCAGCCCACATCCCCTTCCCCTGCTCTCCCCACAGCCCGGGCACTCCCGTCTCCCACCCTGCGCTCGCTCCCACCCCCGTCCCGGCGGTTCCCGGCAGCGCCTGGCCGGGTGACAGCAGGCAGAGTAAACACCCCGGCCCCGCTCCGCCTGCCCCACGCCTCACCCGCCCCACGGCGACCCACCTCGCAGGGTGCCCGGACAGGGGGTCCGGTGGCCACCGCAGCCCCAGGGACCAGGGTGGTAGCCCAACTTGCCCGAGGAACAGCTGGCAGCGGCTGGAGCCACCAGCAGCGGGGTCAAACACCGCCGGACGTGTCCCCCCCCACGGCCGGCCCCGTCCCTGCGGACGTGACAAGTCACAAATGGTCCCCGCTGGCACCCTCAGCCCCTCGGCCAGCGCTGGCCCCACGCCAGCCCCCCCCTCTGCAGTGCTGGTGCCCCCCACTCCCTGCCTGCCCTCCTGATTAGCCAAATGAACCCATGGGGGGGGGAAACTGGGGGGCAGCTGGGACTAGGGTGCCTAAAATAGACCCTCCTTCACCCCAAAATGCTCCTTTTTCAGCTGTGCCAGAAGTGGGCAGGCAGCAGGAGCCCACCCCCACCCCTGCCTCTGGGCAAGCTGGTGTTCCCATCGCTGGGAAGGGGTGATGCCAGCGTTGGCTGCCCCTGCCAGGTGAAGGGGGGTGTTGTGGGGGGGGGACAGACCCTCAGACCCTGCTCCTGGCTTGCCATGCTCCCCCCACCAAATCTGGGGATGGTATGTGCTGGGGAGGGGGTGAGGGGGTGTGGGGGCAGTGAGTGAGGCTCGGGGACCCTGGAGGGGGGCATGGGGGCTGTGGGCAAGCTGGGGGGG